TATAGTGACTGGATGTTTTTTTTGCAAACTTCGTATACGAGGCCCGGTTTTAGGTATAAACCGACGTTGGCTGCAAGTTCATGTCCCATCATGGCAACAGCCAAAAACATGTTGCTTGTTTTTTAGCAGAGCGGATCGCCAACCAGCCTACCGGCTTGTTTTATAAACTGGCTTGGTAATTCCCACCACCAATTACAGTTGTAGGTCATGTCACAGCATTTCGGCTACTTTTCCAACAAATCCAAAATCACTCATAATTTTGTTTACATTACATTGTACTATGATTACATTTTAAGTTTTGATAATTTTAATGCATACATGTACACTCACAAAAATACCCCCAGAATTTAATACATAGCCTTGACAAATAAGGATTATTTTTCCTTGACTTAATATTGCATTTTTTTTCTATCTGTGTAACTCCATTTGGAAATCCGGATGAGATTTAAAGTTCAGTTCACAACTAAGGGTTTTGCAATCATATTAGAGGCTGTGAACTTGTCCATGGAGGCTGCAGATTAATAAATATTGTATTCACTGACATTTTTTTTGTATTTACATTTGTAATAAGTTCCACAGTATCTTTTTCTTACTAGTGTGGCTACAGTGACTGTGTAGTGTTTTTGTTTTGTCGAATGTTGTCAGTTGTTTGTTTTGTGTTTATGGAATTCTGTACAAAAATCAACAACGGTTAAATGAGTACGTTATTTCCAATTTCGTTCATTAATGGTGTACAATGGATGACGCTTTCTCCGGGACCTTCGAGTCCAATGTTGATTATGTCCCGGCCCGTTTACTTACTTGTTGTAAATGTCTGAGTGGTATATACAAAATGTGACCAAGTAAACATCAGAATATTAAAAAAACAGAAACCTAAAAATCAGTTGCCCATGCCAAGAAAGCCGCTGAACCAAAACAATCTGTCGGTCGTCGCCGTCCACAGCAGCGATATGATTTTACACACCGAAATTGAGAATCGCAGGTGTAGACATATAGACATATCACGGCCAGTAATCAAACCATCAATATTCATGAGTGACGTAACTGGTATTTCCATCTATTTGCTTCTATTCCCACTATCCTAAAATGTTCAAGTGAATGTTGTCAAATTCGCGAGTGTGCGTACAGTGGCATAAACATTGCTACAAACAAAAAAAGTCCCTTCTGGGCTAGTACCATTGTCAAATTCTGGGGAGTAGAAGATTATTTATATTGGAAACGTTACAATAAGGAACTATTAAAATTGTTCGATTTGCATATCAAAATCCTTTATTGGAACAGAGCATGTTCTATATTCACCAAAAAACAAAGTTGTTATGTTTCTAGACACACAACAGACTCGAAACAATAGAAACCGTCTGATCCGAGCGACCTGTGTTCTTGAAAATAGAGTCTTATCACCCTTGCATTTTCGAGCAAAAAACGTTGAGGCCAAAAATGACCGATTTCACCCAATCTTACATGAATTTTTCATAATATAGCTAATTCAGTCCAGCGGTTAGATAGGGTATTTATTAGAGACGCTCAGAGAACCTAAATTTAGGACGTGAATCGATCCGGCGACGAAAAATCAACGAAAATAGCCAAAGGGGTGAGGGACTGCATTTCAAAAACATATTTTATATATAGGTTCTCAAGTTTGAAAAATACATGTATATAAAAATTTGAACCTGAAAGGTCAGAGCATGTCAGAGATAGGGCCACAGAGCTGCAATCAGAAAAACAAAATGGCCACCAGTTGGCCAGTTTGGATCTGATTTGACAAAGTGATGTGCACTAAGGTGCCATAAAGTTCAATGTGCATACCAAGTGTGATCAAAATAAGCATCTACCCATTCACCTTATATAGGTACATGTATGTTGATATAGTCACGAGCATTTCGGCCATCTTAAATCAGATAACCAAATGATTGGTCAGGAGATGTCAGATATATAGCTCCAAACTGTGTTCAGATGCATTTTTAGTTTGATCTGACAAAATGATGTACATTAAGGCCCCACATAATGTCCAATACATGTACAGTACATATACCAAGTTTGAATGAAATCGTCTATACACGACAGAGATCTGATTACGGAATAGCAGAAATGCTTGATTTTGTTGAATTTTTATCACAAAAAATGGCCGCAATTTTTTCAATGGATAATGAAACGAATAGATGTATATACCAGGGTATTCCATCTAAGATAAGTGATGTAGTTGTGAAGTTTGAATGTGATAGGACCAGGCATGTCTGAGACACAGGTTGAGATGCACGGATACATGCACCAACGTCAAAACATGACGTTTAAACAGGGATATTTTTTTTGTCATTCCATGTAACCTAGCAAAATTATGAGATATGAAGAAATAATTTCACAATGCAAACTCCTATTCCACAAACAAATTTTCCAGTGACTCATTCATTCCCAATTATGAAAGTCTGGAGAAGATGACATGATCTTCAATTCAGCTCTTCACCCTGATTTGAATAATATTCTGAGCATGCTCAGTTTTTCTCTCAGTGTTGTTGAAAGAGGTAATTAATGATGAAAATCATGAAAAAGACCCACTTAGTGTTTTCAGATCTGGAAAATAAATTAAGTGCATATTCAACAGAGACAACAACCTGCCAAGTTTCACCGATATCTGCTGCAGAAAATTTCTGAGAAAATGTTAGAGATGTAACGTCATGGACAGAAACTGGAAATAATAAACTATACCCCCCTTTTCAGGCTGCCCCGAAACCGGGGACTAAATACAAAAAATTCCGAAATGAGGATCAATGACAAGGGATACTTGATATGCACAGACTAAATGTAAATACAGGTATTTAAATAATGTATATATTAATAATTTAAAGCCACATGTTGCATAATATACCAGTACATGTACATAGCAGGCAGTCTACATGCAATGCACTGCTAGCATTCACAACGATTCTATTTTAGAGATGATGTCAAATTGAATTTAGGAATGACTATCTTGAGCTCATGTGGGATCAAGCTTTTTAGTTTACAATACATCATTGCCCGGGATTCAACTGCGTCGAGGAACAAGCCAACTGACTAACTAAACCCACGCCTAATTAGGCTTCAGACTTAATCATAGGATCACAGCGCAAGAGACCTTTTGCTCCTTGCCTTTGGCAATATATCAATGTATTCTCGGCCCATCATGTCTGTAAATGCAGAGATTGAGTAATTCTAGTAGCAATGATTCAAGTCTGCATACATACTTAGACTGGTCATATCTAAATAGGAGTGTGATTAGAATGTACACACACACACGTATTCCCTACAATTCCTGAATCTGAAGGTCCATGATCAGAATATTCACACACGCACATGCACATATTCAGAAAAGTGCTTCAACATACATCTACTGTTGAGAGGGATTTATCATTTGATGTGAGGATGATATTCTCTGCATTCTCAGTGGAGTGCTAACAAAATATGCCGTCTATTTGAGAGAGCATGATGTCAACACGTTCATTTGCTTCTGGGACTAAATGACAGCATTACATAACTGCTTGTATTTTTCTCCTCCACTCGACTTCCACTCATAGTTACAAATATTTCATATCCGTTTATAGTAATTGTCGTAAGCACCAAATTACTACCATAAAAAGTAAGATATTTCAAAATACCTTTAAAGATGTATTTTTCAGAGTAGAACTTATAATATGTCAGTTATATTTAACACAATTTTTCTCAAGGCCATTTACCAGTTCATTTAGAGAATGACATTATTAATGGCTAGCCGGTGGTTTTTAAATTTACATTTCATATAAAGGGCAAAAGCCGATTTGAAAATTTACAAAACCCGCTAACCTTATACTATTAAGTTTGGTTAATTGACCCAGCTTTCGAATGAGCTATACGTAGTACTTTCATTATAAAACTACTAATAGCAGGAAATATTGAGAGAGAAATAACATTTTATTATATACAAATAATGGTGTTTTTTATATTGAAAAATCTATAAATCAAAAAGGGTTATGATTTAGACTGTTAGTTTGAGAAATGTAAATGGGTTAAACCGTTTATGTATGTGAATGATAGGAGGAAAGCGACGAAAAGATGTAGAGAGGATGATTCTTCTTTGAAATATCTTGTTTTGGACATGGGAGGAATACAAATTAAAGAATATAGACAGGAAATGACTTTTCACCCTGATTTCAATAATAGAGAGAACAGCCAAATAAAAGTATCCGTACGCATGTATGTTTTTCATTTTTTTTTTTAATTATTTAGAGCAGGTACTTGAAAACACAAAGTGAAGAGCTTATTATACTATATGCAGCGTTGAGCTTGTGTAGAATACATAATGTTGAAACACTTAGGATATAGGCAACGTGTCACGAGTTATGTTAAATGGTGTTGGTAGTACATATATAATTAATGCAGGTGAAAATAAATTCACGACGAATGTCAATATAGAATAGATTTAATCACATATCGCTGTTGTAAATTTAATATTTGAAGTTTTACTTTTCAGACCCTAATTACTATTGATATGAATAATACATATGTACGTAATACTTTATTTTAGAGTTAGAGTGCTTACAATACCGTAGTGAAGATTATGGTGATTAGGTAAAATTAGGTCGAAATCAATTTCAAACTTAAAGTTTCCTCTGTGTGTGTATGTTCTTGCATTATCACCACATTTTTATGACATTGAGATGACCTGCTACTGTGAACTTTGACCTGAGAGGTCAAAAAAAACACATTAGCCAATCAGAATCCTGAGGAAATCACTAGAAAGTTACTGGTCTGTGTTTAGCTCCACACATAGCCATTTCATCTGCTGACACAATTTTTTCTAATTTATTTCGGCAATCTGTACGGGCTTGCCCTAGACGATGTGTAAAAATGAAACCCAGTACAAACAGTAACAAGTAAAGTCTATCATGCCAACAAAACTTGGTGTAGATTTTTTTCCTCAGTATCAAATAGAAAATATACTATACAAATTACCCAATTAAAAGTGCATAGATTAAAAATATGCAAATTACCTGTAGTGAGAATGCCAGATCGAGTTCGGTATCTAGGAGTCCACTCTGGGGTATAAAAATCTCGTTGGATCGAAGAGTCCTCTTCATGCTCTACAAAAGGAAATGGAAAAACTATGAATAGGACAGCAGTCAACATCCTGAAATGAAGTACATCTTACGTACCATTTAAGTACTGGTTTGACTAAAATCATACATGTAACTCTTGACCTAAGCCCTTTCTTACTTCTAGACTAGGATCTCCGTCTAGCAGCTTATTGAGTCTTTAAAAAACTCAACATAGAAGAGATCACAGCTACATTCACAACACTGTGTATGTTATCTAACTGTTAGCTCTCTCTCTCTTATTGTCTTGATATTGCCTGTGTGCAGAGCCAACCCACATGGTACAAAACCCTCAATTCAATCTAAGTGTGACTCTAATCGAGAAACTGTAACATTCTTTACTGTACAAGACGATTTGAACCGGTTTTAAGTTGGGTCATGAATATTCATGAGTTTATCCCTGATTATGCATTATAGCAATCCACCTGCCACAACTTCAATATGTAAATTAGCTAGAACAAAATTAATTCGAAAACAAATAGGACACAGCACTTAAGTACACAGTGTTCTGGTCTTGGAACATGGTACCAGTAAATACAGGTGTGTATGTTGAAAACAGTGATTGGCTGACACCGGGACAATCGATCAGTAGAACATGATTTGTTAAATGTACAAACACCAGGTGCACCCACATATGTATGTTGAACATTGTTCAGATATCTGACCACCACTCCAATGGCATTCTCCAGTCAGTCAATATCTAAATCAATTGCTTTCCTACACAAAGATGGCAGGGAAAACTGCTCCAAGCAGTACAAAACAATAAATATTCACTACACTTCATATAAACACTATGACTGTTAGTTGGTATCATTTCTATAAACAAGAAAACCCACGATAAAGTACAGGTACAATATGTTGTGTTGTAGTGACAATGCTATGTACATGTACATGTGTATGTCACCTTGCAATGAGAAACTAGCTGTCTCTTTGTGACATCCACCACAGCCCTGAAACTATCTTGTTATATATATATAAATTTATACGATAACAAATTTATGTATTCATATATAAATCTATGCAAATTAGACACTTGATAATTTGTTGAAGAAGGCGCTGATACATTTTCTGTTTTTCATTTTGGAACAGGGCAATGATTATTTACTTTTAACTTTTGAAACTTTTTAAAATACAGTGTGGGTGTTCTATGCATTGTGAATTGATAAATAATACAAACACATGGGTTTATTTATAGTACACGTACAAATACGTAAATGTGTGAGTTGACACCTTTAGTTGAGACACTGACACCTTCTGTATCCCAGAAGTATTTTAACTGCTAAGAACGTCATCACACTGCACACATTCAAATGTCACGCAACCCAAAAATATATTTTACATGCGCTGTTTACATTGCATGGGACCTATATTAATGATGGTATACAGTGACAATGTTCTAGTGTCCTTGGGCCAGTCATTGCCAGTCATTGGGCAGATGTGCCCATTTTGGAAAATGACTCGGACAAAGCAATAGTTATATATCAATGAACTACATCACACTTCACTTTCAAGGTATTCATACAAATATTAAACAATGTTTAATTATTCGCTGGGTTTCATTTTCGCTAATTTAAAAGCCAGTAAATATTCAAATTCAACAATAGAATGTTTTATTTCCTCCACGAACTGATGAATATAAAACCCAGTGAAAATCTCAAATCTGCTGAAATTAAATGCAGTGAATATTTCCATCTCTATAGTAACACAATTTTTAATATAAAAAATATTCCTAACATTTAGCATTTATATATACTAAATGGGGAAAATATATTGTGACCTAATTAAAGATAATCCTGAGGAAAGTACATACAACCCTGACCTGTTTTCATTAGATTAACTAGTACATCTTTATTTAGATGTAATTTGGGTTTATATTTGACATACATGAATTCCCACAAAAACTAATTTATTATCATGTTGCAACAATGCTTTTATTGCAACTTTTTTTTTACGAATTTCACTTCACAAGCTAGGGGAAATTTAGTAGTTGTGAACATTTCTCTGATGTCAAAGTTCATCCTGGTTTAGTGTAGCGCAGGATCACAACTGATGCTCTCCATCAATAGAAAAGTAGGTGAGATTATTGTGATGTAAACGTTAGTATACACTGGTTAAGTGTAAAATATAAAATATAATTGACAGCTCTCTAGATTGTGATCATTTTCGTCAAGACAAAGAGTCTGCAATTGAATTGGTTTTGGACATTCATAGCAGTTACATAACCTAGTTGCATGGTTACTTTACACCAGTTATAATACTGTACTTCATCGAGTATAAGCCCAGGGGCCTGAATATGTAAAATCGGGAAAATTAGGGGGTAGGCTTATGCTCGAGGACCACCTCAGAAAAAATTTTTTTTTGGGGGGGGGGTTAATAATGTATTAACCATCTTCCCAACCACAACAAATTATTCAAATTACATTTTTCGTTCACTGCACCGGTCTCGAATAAATTTTACGACTTTTTGATTTCCACAACACTTTTTACAATGAAGATGTTTATGTTTACAATGTTCATAAAAATACACACATTTTATTACAATACGGTTTACACACCGTCTGAATTTACGGTGTAATAATGAGTAGGGTCTGTGGGAAAACAGTTGAAGGCAAGATCTTTTCGATTGTATGCAAACTCTCAATACAAAGCAATTTCTGCCATGGTGTTTTTCATCATGATTTGACCTGAACAACTTCCTTTGACCTAACAGGTCACGTCTTTCGTTAATCAATCAAAATGCTGTGTCGTACAGACAAAGTTTTCCGATTATTGACGAAGTAATTTTTTCAACGCAATGCAGAAGTGAATTACCGCGATGTTAAAGGGCGGCAGTCGTTGTGTCACGTCCTGTTTGATATGGGACTCATAATATATTGTTTATTTACATGAAATTCGAACACGCGCTACGCGGCGACCACCACGCTTTAAAATACATTCTGATTTCGACAGCAATTTTTTTCTCTAAAGCTGTTGACTCGCAATTTTCGAAAGATAAACTGAGGGTGGAGGAAGGTTTTAACCTTTCACGGTCGCTAACAAGTCATGTCGAAGAATAGTTTGCTTGTTCACATCACATTCACGGCAGTCTCAATGGACACGATTATTCGAAAAAATAAAACGATGTTCAATGACCAGGTTTCACAACTTGACGATCACATTTTTGGCATTTCTAAAACTACTACTCAAAAGAAATGTAGATTACTTCAGTATTGCAATATCAGGGTTCATCCTGAGTCAATATCAGAATAGAAAAGGTGCGAAACATCATGTTACGTACGTTCGGCGGCCACACTCTGTAATTAATGCGAGTTTTCTTGTAAAAGCAGGAACCAAACTAACGTAGCAATCATGATTATAATGCCATGAGATACACTTTTTACACGCATATTTTAATAAATGTCATCAACGCCCAGTAAAAACACCCTAGGCTTATACTCGAGGATGCCCTCAACTTGTTAAATGTCTAAAAACAGAGGGGTAGGCTTATACTCGGGGAGGGGCTTATGCTCGGGTAAGTACGGTATATGCGAACAAATCTATATTAAAAGCTGCATCCCGAATAAAAGACAATTGACAACAAAATTCACCATTTCTCATATGTCATGCTCTTTGTTGCATTGTACCATTTCGATATAAGCCAGAATAAAGATTTGGCAGTACTCTTGAATACCTGAATTTTAACATAAGTGCAGTTTCTGTGTAGTTTATTATGAATTTGTAAAACATAATAAACTCTGAAGACCAACAATTCACTATTTGGCAACTAAATGTTCAGTTTTAACTTTGGAGACTGATTGAAGGTTAATGTTACAGTCAAGTAATAAAATACTGCAAACAAAGAATATACATAAAGTACATACACACAGTTTAGTTTCATAAACTGAGAAATATGCTGTATGTTATATAAAATATGCAAATTAAATCATTTATATGCAGAATTTGTTTTTCATTAACCGAGATGTTTCACTTCAAATGGTACATTCAAGATGCATAAATAATCCAGATTCTACATTGCAATGCAAAGCAGTAAATATGTAAATTAGATAATTAGTATTCACTAATTTGTTTTATAAACTGTTGTCAGTGTAGCCTGGATATAGAAAGCTGAAATCAGTAAATAACCCGCAGGCATTTTCCAAAATGCAATACACAGGAAGTAAAACTTCAGTCTCTTAAAAAAGTATGACCCGTTAAACAAACACTAAAATGAATCACTGTAGTACAGGTAATGCAAGAGTGTCTAATTCAGAACCTATAGCCATTATGTAACAATTCTTTACTCAATTTAAAAAAAAAATAAAAAGCTCACAGTTCGATTTTTAAAACTTGATTTCCGACAATTAAAAACGAGAGTGACCAACCAGTGAGGTATATTTACATGCCAGTACACATAAAATCAGCCTTGACAACAATGGCAACAACTATTTACATAGACTGGTGTAGTGTTTGAATTTGTGTTGGCAACCCAAACACTTCAATTTAATTTGTGTCTTGAATCACCAACCCCTTCAAACCCATATGACTATTAGGGGAGAGTAGGAAATCAAACGGGCGGTGCACCGTGGTCATTACCGCGGTGGTGGTGGGTGCTCGCCGGTCGACCGCATTTTATGCAAATTTATGCATAGATTCCATGACACCGGCTAACC